GACGGACGGACGGACGGATGGATGGATGGACAGACATAGATACATGGATGGATGGATGGACAGACGGATGGATGGACGGACGGACAGATACATGGATGGATGGATGGATGGACAGACATAGATACATGGATGGATGGATGGACAGACAGATACATGGATGGATGGACAGACATAGATACATGGATGGATGGATGGACGGACATGGATGGATGGATGGATGGATGGATGGATGGATGGATGGATGGACGGACATAGATACATGGATGGATGGATGGACAGACATGGATGGATGGATGGATGGATGGATGGATGGACGGACATAGATACATGGATGGATGGACGGACATGGATGGATGGACAGACATAGATACATGGATGGACAGACAGATACATGGATGAATGGATGGATGGACGGACATAGATACATGGATGGACGGATGGACGGACATAGATACATGGATGGATGGATGGATGGATGGACGGACATAGATGGATGGATGGATGGACGGACAGACATAGATACATGGATGGATGGATGGATGGATGGACGGATGGATGGACGGATGGATGGACGGACAGACACAGATGGATGGATGGATGGATGGACGGACAGATAGATGATAGAGGGAGGGAGGGAGGGAGGGACGGACGGATGGACGGACGGACAGACATAGGTAGATGATAGATAGATTGGACGGATGGACGGACGGAAAGACATAGATTGGATAGATAGATTGGATGGATAGATTGGATGGATGGATGCATGGATGCATGGACGGACGGACAGACATAGATTGGATGGATAGATAGGATGGATGGACGGACGGACATAGATTGGATGGATAGATAGGATGGATGGACGGACGGACATAGATAGATGAATGGATGGATGCTAAATGCTAATTAGACTAAGTGGGACAGGTGACACCCGTCTTTTTTACATCGTAACCAAAACTGGATGGAGTATTCCAAGCGTGGCCTTACCAAGGCCTTGTAAAGTGGTAGTAACCCTTCACGGGATCCTGATTCTATCCCTCTGTTAATGCAGCCTAGCACACTGTGTCGTTGGCCTTTTTGGCAGCTGCAGCACACGGCTGGCTCCTGTTTAGATGATTGTCCAGTAGGACTCCCAGATCCCTCTCACAGTTGCTATTATTGAGTAAGGTACCCCCTATACTAGTCCACCTGCCCAGTCGGTTTTCCTTGCCTAAATGTAGTTTTGCTAAAGGCTCAATTAGAGTTTGCTAAATGCTAACGGCTAATCAGCGGGGGACACACACTGCTGCGCGCGCCCCACGGGTGCCCCACGGCTGCCCGACGTTGGGCCGAGCGGCCAAACAGACAGGAGCTCAAAATCCAGAAAAAGCTTCTTTTTTTATTCACTGCGTGCAGGAGGAGAATGCTTGCGTGAGAAGCGGTGGGTAACTTTGGAGTAGCGGAGTTCGGGAGTCGCGGCTGGGAAGTCCTTCAGCTGCTCTTTGGTCCCGGGGAAGCGCCAAAGGCCGGCGTTGGGCTTGGGGGGCTTCCCTCCGTGCCCCTCAGGCAGGGCTCTGCTCTTTGCCCGGATCCTCGGGCGCAGAAGAGACGTCTGGGTCCTCCAGGGCCACGTAGTCCCGCCAGCCTCCCTGCGAGACAAAAAGGATTGCAGCGGCTTCCCCAGGATTGGCCAGTGGCCAGCAAGACACACACCCCCCGCCATTCACTCCAGAGCAGGGGTCCCCAACCTAGGGCCGCGACCCACTAGTTTGCAACCGGGCCGCGGAAACAGCCGATGAGCACACGGGCGCGAGCAGCAGGCGAGGACATGAGCACGCTCCACTGAGCGTGCAAACGGAGGCCCTGCTGCCCGCGCGCGCTTGCCGGCCGTTGGTGTGGAACCATCCCTTCTCCCACCCGCCGGTCCGCCAAGCCGGAACCGTCGGAGAGCTCGGCTCCAGAGGGAATGTGGCCCCGGGGGAGATCTTCCCGAGATCTCTTCTTCGGAAGCTGAGCGATTTAAGTGCGACTCCTTCTGGAGTACCCAGAGCGACAACAGCCAGGGACTCCCGGGGGGCGTGTGTGGCTGCCCTCCAGAGTGCCCGACCCGGCCGTGCCCACTGGGACCACGAACTCTGCGCCCTTCCCTCCACGTACCCAGCAGGAGCAACTCAGGCGGCGCAGGCCGTATCCCAAGCAGAAGAGGGCGGTGGCCAGAGCGGCGATGTGCACGATCAGCAGGAGGATCAGGGTGCTGCTCCACATGCGCTGGGGAAAGAGGGGGGCTCGACTCAGCAGGAGAGGGGGGCAGGCGGGCCCAGCAGTCGACTGGTCCACCAAAGCTCACTGGCACTGGCTCCCGTGCTTTGTCCACACCGGCCGGGACTCGGTGGGGAGGCAGGAGGAGGGCGTCGGAGAGGGGGAACGCCCGTCTGCGAGGACCAGAGGGTACTTTCTCCCAGGGGCTGAACACATCTTCCCGAATCCGCCGGAGGACAGGTGAGCCCTCCTTGCCCTTCAGTTTGACATTCAGGACAGACAGACAGACCAAGGGAGGCCCGTACTTCGAAGGTCCCGTCCTGGGATTGCTGTCTTCTAAGAGGCGCTGCTGCCCGCCTCCCTCTCTGGCGAACCAACACTCACCACGAGCCCCAAGAGAGCCTTCTGGCACTGCCTGACCCGCTCTTGGTCCCACTCGTTGTCGTACGGAGGTCTGGTGGTCGGTTCCCACGAGCGGTAACCCCGGTCCTCCACTCTGTGCTTGCAGAGCTCCACAACCCAGTAGGGTTCGTAGGTGAAGGGTACGAACTCCGTCAAGCCCAACGAGAAGGCCACCGAGCCGGCCACGACGCTGCCCAGGTTGAGGAAGGTGGCCAGGTGGACCTAGGAGGCGAGGCAGGGCACGGCTGAGAATGGGCACCGGGGTCCTTGCGACAGGCCGGGGACCGGGACCCTCCCCACTTACCCAGTATCCACCGCGTCGTGCGCCCACCACCGAGAAGGTGCCGGAGAGGATGAACTGCAGAGGGAGGGAAGCAAATCGGTGAGGAGTGTCTGTCTGGGCCTCCCGCCCATCCGCCTGTCAACAGTCCAGTTGGCATGTCCAGAAAAAGAGACTCCTGGGACATCATATTTTACTGAAAATCGCCCCCACCCCATCGGGTCTTCCCATTGTCCAATAGCAATATTGCTTTTTGTGATGGCAACAGTCCACTTCTCCTTTCAGCCCCGGCATTAGCGGCCTTGGCTCTCGGTTGCCTAGGTCAGGGGTCCCCAACCCGGGGGCCGTGGCCCACTCCCGGGCTGTCCAGGCCACAGGATGGGCCAGCTGCTGCGCGCACGTGTGTGTGCACTCACCCCCAAGATGAAGACGGGGCGCTACGCTGGGCGAAAACAGGGTGCCGTGTGAAAACGGGGCACCGCACAGGGCAAAAACTTGGGGGGGCTAGCGAGCGTCACGCAGATGCGAAGCGCCGCCCCGTTTGTGTCCCGCGCGACACAGCAAACGCTCCACCCAGCAAGCCCAGAACCTCCCCTGCCCACTTTTGTGCCCTGGACTGACTCCCGGGGACGTCGGCAGCAGTCCATCCCTCTCAAACGGACCGGGCCCTGCCATCTTTGTCCCGTCCCAGAATCCTCCCCTGCCGCTTCTCGAGGGGGAGGGGGTTTCCAGCTGAGACCAAGGGGGGGACCCTCCCCCATTCCTCCATCCCCCCCCCCAGTACTCACCAGGCCACCCATCCAGAAAGGGACTCCGTTATAGATTGACTGCTTGTAGTAGTAGGGTAGGTCAACGAAGCTCAGCGGCACGCCGAGGCCGATGCAGACAGCGCCGAGCAGGATCTGGGCTCCCTGGGGGGGCAGAGGGGGGAGACCCCAGTCATTGTTAGCGGGCAACGGGGGGGTGTTAGTTGGAGACCCCGTTGGGGGGTCGTAGTTCCCTTTGTGGCTGGAGCGGAGAGAGAGGAGCAGCCCCTCGGCTCCTCCCCGACTCAAGTCAGGGTTGGGAATAGAATAGAGCCGGAAGAGACCTCGGAGGTCATCTAGTCCAGCCCCCCTCCTGCCGCCGAAGCAGGAGAACCTACTACACCGTTTCTGACGGAGGGCGGTCCAGTCTCTTGTTAAAAGCCAGTTTATACTTGTACGGCTGGTTTATAACTAGTATGTCAAAAGTAAAAAAAAAAAGATTGAGGTTTGATGTTACTATGTTTATTTTAATAGAGACGGAAGTCCGCTCCCTCCTTTTCTTTCTTTCTTTCTTTCTTTCTTTCTTTCTTTCTTTCTTTCTTTCTTTCTTTCTTTCTTTCTTTCTTTCTTTCCCTTCTTTTTCTTTCTTTTTCTTTCTCCTTCCTTCCTTCCTTTCTTTTCTTTCTTCTTTCTTTTTCTTCCTTCCTTCCTTCCCTTTTTCTTTCTTTCTTTCTTCCTTCCTTCCTTTCTTTTCTTTCTTCTTTCTTTTTCTTCCTTCCTTCCTTCCCTTTTTCTTTCTTTCTTCCTTTCTTCCTTTCTTTTCCTTTCTTTCCATGCCTTCCTTTTCTTTTTCTTTCCTTTCTTTCTTTCTTTCTTTCTTTCTTTCTTTCTTTCTCTTTCTTTTTCTTTCATTTCTTTCCTTTCCTTTCTTTCCTTTCTTTTCCTCCTTCCCTTGCTTCTTTCCTTCCTTCTTTCTGTTTCCTTTCTCCTTCCTTTTCTTTTTTCTCTCTTCGCTTTCTTTCTTTTTCTTTCCCTTCCTTCTTTCCTTTCTTTCTATCTTCCTTTCTTTCTTCTTTCTTTCTTTCCCTTCTTTTCCCTTCTTTTTTTTCTCCTTCTTTCCTTCCTTCCTTTCTTTCTTCCTTTCTTTCTTTTTCTTCCTTCCTTCCTTCCCTTTTTCTTTCTTTCTTTCTTTCTTTCTTTTTTTCTTTCTTTCTCTTCCTTTCTTTCTTTTCCTTTCTTTTCATGCCTTCCTTTTCTTTTTCTTTCCTTTCTTTCTTTCTTTCTTTCTCTTTCTTTTTCTTTCATTTCTTTCCTTTCCTTTCTTTCCTTTCTTTTCCTCCCTCCCTTGCTTCTTTCCTTCCTTCTTTCTGTTTCCTTTTCTTTTTTCTCTCTTCGCTTTCTTTCTTTTTCTTTCCCTTCCTTCTTTCCTTTCTTTCTTTTTCTCTTTCTTTCTTTCTTTCTTTCTTCCTTTCCCTTTCTTCCCATTCCTTCCTTTTGTTTTTCTTTTTCTTTCCCTTTTTTCTTTCTTTCTCTCTTTCTTTTTCTTTCCTCATTTCTTTCCTTTCCTTTCTTTTCCTCCCTCCCTTCCTTCTTTCCTTCCTTCCTTCTCTTTCCTCTCTTTTTTCTTCCTTTCTCTTTCCTTCCCCTTCCTTTTCTTTTCTCTCTCTTCGCTTTCTTTCTCTTTCTTTCCCTTCCTTCTTTCCTTCCTTTCTTTCTTTCCCTTCTTTTTCTTTCTTTTTCTATCTCCTTCTTTCCTTTCTTTCCTTCCTTCCTTCCTTTTTCCCTTCTCTTCTACACTCCTCCCTTCCCTACCTTCCCCATCATTTGTTTTTCTGCAGTTTCGACCCTCCAACTCATCAAACCAGCCTGGCGCTCTCCTCCCTCTGGGGTCACCCCCTCCCATCCCCCCCCTTCCCCCGG